ATAATAAAATAAAAAAATAATATAATGAACCATTCTTTTTGATTAGAGCTGAGATATTTTTTATTTTTTATTTTGTTTTAGTAAGCAATTTATAATAATCAAATTGATAAGAAAAAAATGCTTTCAAATTTATTAAAAGATTAGATTATCTGTGTTTGAAGTTTTGTTTGTGTTAAATGTGTATTTTTTTTTTTGTGATGTTGAGAAATAATTTTCGTTTTTAACTTCTAAACAAACACAAATTTAAAACAATATAAAATATTTGTACTTTTTAAAAAGCAAAAAAAAAAAAAGAAAAAAATAAGTTTAAACATTTTAAATTTACATAAAGTTTATACCGAAAACAGAAATGCTTTCAAAATTTAAGTTTTTAATTCCGAAATTAAATAATTTTTCATTTTATTAAATCAGGTATGTCATTATCATTGTGGGGCTCTTCGCTACTAATATGCCACGCATACCTCATAAATGTCTTTCACATCTTTGCCCGACCCTCAAACGTGCCAATTTGTTATTTTCCAACTGAGACATAAAAATACTATTTATCGCTTATATCAAAAATATTTCTTTCCACACAAGCACTCTGTTGGCCGCCCGCAGCAGCGCAATTACTCCACATTCCCATTAGAATTTCTTAATATTTCACATATACTTTGCTCATTAAATTATTTATGCATATAAACGAGATTAAAAATTTATATCAGAATATACTAAATTATAGCGAAGAGTAAACGCGAGAGAGCTTTTGGGACGCCCCACAGCTGCAGCGAAACAGACAACGCTTTTATGTTTGATATCAGGCATTTGCTTAATGTGCAACGAAAGCAAAGTATGCGCCATTTTTCAATACAAAGTTGCCTATTTTTGAATTTTTAAAATTTTCCAAACAGCAGCACGCCGTCCGGCAGGCACACGTGAAAATAAACAACACACCACCACCCATTGGGACGTTGGGTCATTTGGGGTGATTTGTTGTTGGATGTTTTGTTTTTGTTTAACTCTACGGTAGCTTTCAAGTATTGCCGTGTTGAAATAGTCGCTAGCATGCGGTGTGTGGTAAGTTATGTATGCTAGCTACGCTGCTTAAGGAATTTCGAAATATGCGTTTTTGAAAATTCAGAAACGCATTGAAGTATATATGAATATGAGTAAGAATGTGAGCAAAACGTGGGGAAATCCTCCATTGTGAAAGTGTATATGGGTGAAAATAAAATAAAGTAAAAAAAATTGTGGTAGATGACAGATTGAAAGGGTCATAGTCGCAATTGTGTAAATGTACAGCAATACTGCGGAAAGCCTGAGTGGCTTTAAGGGCGGTATTATTATGCAGATATACGAATTGAGTGTAGAGTTTCGACAAAATATCTCAGCATATCTTTGGTAAGTGTTTTTAGAATGCAAGTATTCCTCATGGAGTTGAGATACTCAAAAATTAAGAAAATACTACTGAAATACTAACATACTATGTATTTCAGTAGTATTTTCTGCACATTTTTAAGAAACATATTTTTAAAGGAACATTTTGGCATTTAAAAAAATTTTCCTCCAGGGAATTTTTCATAATTAGTTAGAAAAATTTCGTTATGCTTTATGTTTGTTTGCATAGTAATAACTTTTTGTACTGTTGAAATTCGGTAGAAGAACGGTGTGGTTCAGAGAGGAGGCAATAGAATAAGGGGATCTGAGGCGCGCTGAATTCACTAAAAGCTTAGGTCCAGACAGTCCATACCTACCTACCTATTAAACTGAAATCTTTCCAAATAAAAATTTCGGAGGGATTAAATTATTAAAATTGTTTCCAATATATAAAAATTTGAGGTCTCTTATTTAAAAAAAAATGTTGAAAATGGCGTCATTTATAGAACCACACACAACATCATCCAGCATTAAAGATGTAGGTCCAAAAGAAAATTGTATAGAAGTCTTAAAATACAGCCAAAAATTAGCAACTAATGAAGCCATCAGTAGCTAAAAAACATTCGTTGAAAGCAAGATCGATCATGACAATCGTAGATTTTAAAAACAAGCACTGAGGAAATAATTGGGGTACTCACAACCCGTCGTAAAGCATCGTAAAATCGTAAAGTTATAAATTTTTACACTTGTTTAAAAAAATTGTTTTGGATTTCATACAAAAATGAGTTTACACATTTACAATTCTCAATGCTATGTTTTCGAATCGTTATACCTTATAACTTTATGAGACCTTATGAAACCCCTAAATTTTATACCTTGTTTTCTCTTAAATACAAATTTTGCCAACTAAAAAAATTGTAGATCATACAAATTTATACCGAGGAAAAAATTTCAACTTTAAATTTGAAAAATAAAACATTTCGACGTAGACCATTAACGAATACATCATTCCAGCTCATATAAACACTCTTTCTGTTGATATTTTAACGAATGTTTATAAAAGGAGTTCTGTTAAAGAGTCGTTTAGTTCTGACAAGAGCTCTTCGAAATCTAACTACCCACAAAGCTAAGTTTTATTTAATTTATTTCGCGCATTCATACCAAAATCGCTTTATATTTTATTTGAAATGCATTTAATAGTTTGTATCGTTGAAAATTTAAATTCATATGAATTTACATGTCGTGCAGACTTATCTCAACACAGGCAATCAGACATAGCACAAACACTAAACAAGAAGAAGCCGCACTCAAACGGCAAAGACACCGACACACAGGCTGGGACCGAGACAGGTGAGGGGTGAAGCATAAAGATGCTAACTAGACTTAAACGAGCGTGCAGCAGACAAACAGCCAAACACTTGAAAGTCGCCCCAGCATGTTGCATGCGAGCAAAACTAAGGCAACATAAAATTTACGAGCGCACAACGAGAATGAGGAAAGAAAGAAAGAAGTCTCAAAACTATGGTATGGCACTATGAGTATGATGTTGTATGCTGGAGAATAAAAGGCTAAACAAGATTGAAGATTGTAGAGATGAGCTGAGCAACCAGGCAATGTGCAATGGCAATTGGAATGAGAGTAGGCAGTCGGCAGCAGATAGCAGGTATGGCTGAGCGAACCGGTAACCGGTGAAGCTATAAACAAAGTTGAAGTACATATGTATGTGTATGTGTGTATCTGGATAGCATAAAAGAGACAGCAAGCAATAAGAGTGGCAAGAAGAAAAGACCTTGAACAAAAACTAGCAAAAAAAAAAAAAAACAAACAAAAAGAATGAGCAGACAACTTGGCTAACACAGCTGCAAGTCGTGTCAATAGCGTTGAGGAGGCTGTGTGTAAACGCAAACTAACTAACAGGGTAAAAATACACGCTGTGCGTTGTAGAGTCTGGGAAGTTGCAGTAGCACGTTGCAAAAGCTGGCAGGAAGAACGGGCGATCTGTTTTTTGAAGAAAGAAGTCAACAGCTCGTTAAAGTTAAAGTGCTGAAGCGCAACGAGTACTAAAGTGTTGAGTTGGCTGGATGCTAGCTTGCAAGGTTATGCAATGCTGCAGACTTGGTGAGCAAGGTGATAACGTGTGAGGAGACAACATAGCAGAGAGTAGCTTGTGGCAAGCAGGTAGTCAAAATGCGGCTTGTCTTGGGCTAAAAGGGAACGAACTACAATTGCGTTTTGAAAAGGTTGGTTAGGGGGTAGTGGCGCCGTAGAAGGGGAGGTATGCAAATGAGTATGTTGAGAAAATAAAGAAAATAAATCAAATGTTGCAGAGGAAATGAAATGTGGCAGAGAAATAGATTTTGAAGAAAAGGAGAAAAATGTATAAGAATATAGGAAAATAAATTGTACAAGAAAAAAGTATACAAGAAGTAAAATAAAATAAAAAAAAAAATTATATAAACAACTACAAAAGTTTCAAAACTGCAAAAAATAAAATTGCATAAAGATTCCCTTGCAAAAAGTAGCTGAAAATAAGAATATAAAGCATCAAAGTGAGGGACGACTTGAACTTGAGGCTGACGAAAGCCAAAATAAAGTGTTAACAATGGGCAACAAGTCGCTTGTTGGCAACAACAACAGCAACAGCTTGAGTTGTAGCGGCAACTACATAAATATACCGTTTGATTTTTGCTGGCAATGCAGCAGATTTGCAAAAGAGCTGTCATGGCAAGGAGAGTAGAAATGCAAAATAGCAACACTTATTTGCAGTAAAATAGGCAAATAGCTTATAAGTTAGCTTACAAGCAGCTCGAGCTGTAAGTGGAGCTGGTTGAATAAACTGTGAGCATATATAAATTTATTCCACAGGCATATGCAGTATAGCATATATTGCACTATCGCCGCTGGACCCAACTCGAAAGCGATATGATGCCCATTGCGGTTGAGTTGCTGATGAGTGGATCACTTTGACTGCCGTGCTGTCTGAAAATGCGAAATTGGATTTTCCAAACACACACACAGCGGCCATATTAGGTGCCATACAGGGTCAAAAGAGTGGACAGCGCAGTGCAGGCTTTTTTATGTGCCGCTGAAAGCCAAGAACACATTAAAAATTTATATATGCCGGAATGTATTTGGCATTAAACTTGAAATTGCATGTGGCAATAGGAATGGAATTGTATTTTTCGGACGCTCGGCACACACTGCGCTTCTTCTTCTATCCATTGACTGTCTGTCTCAAGTATTGTAAATGAGCCATTATGGCTTTAATGCACACAGCAGTGAACTTCAAAAGGCATATTGGCGTGTAAATGATACTTGGGCATGTAGTCGTGTGAGCATTTCTTACCTTCTCTCTACCATCACTCATGTGTACATGTATGTGTACACTTCGGGCTCTGTGTAGAATTGAATTCGTTCTGACCAGTTAAGTTGAAATGTGTTAAATTCGCATTTAAATGTTATTCTATACAGCACTACAGCACCACAAGCCATTTGTGGCCACTTTTTTGTTGCAAGTTTAAATTGTTCCTTCTCTCCTTAGCGGTAATAGTTTATTGTCAAGTTAGCTTGTTAATTGTTTTGTTAATGGAATTTGCAAAGATTTTTCTATACTAGTATTAAAACTTACCATTTCCAATTCCATTTTGTCATTGTTGAAAGTTTAATTACTTTGCGGCATTTGCGTTTGATAAATTAAGTAGAAATTTGCAGATCTATAATGAAAAGAGTCATAAAGAAAAATAATCAATTAGTGTTGTTAGTGGCAAAAATAAAAAATTTAAGACTACAGTCATAATATTTATGTTAAGAAAAAATTAATTTAAAATTTATAAACTCCGAGTTTATTGTAAAACATTTTCTTTTGAAATTTTTTTTTTATGATAAGAATTAAGCTAAAAAATATATACTTGAATTATACTTGGAACTTCGATCTTAATCCAATACATCTTTCGACAAAATTTTATGTAAAAGTTGGGTTCGAAAAACCCCTAGTTTAATTTAAAACTGTTTCCTTTGTCACTATTTGTTGTAGAGAGAAACGCTTAAGGTAAATATTAAAAAAACTTGAGAGTTCGTAGCACTACTTTTTCTCTTTTCATATCTTTTTTTTTTTTTAGGAAAAAGAAATAAAGAGAAAGAGTTATCAGTTAAAAAATGGACTTTAAGGAACCAAAATTTTTTTCAAATAAGCATAGTATATCTCTATTGGTGGTCCACGGTCTAAATATTTATGCTAAGGAAAAAATTTAATTTAAGAAACTCCGAGTTTAATTAAAATTTTTTCTTTAGACACAATTTTTTTATTAAATAGAGACTTATTTGCCTTAAAACCTCATCGAGTCGAGTTATGAGTTAAAAAAAATATTATAAACACGAGTTAATGGAACTCCGCTTTAATCAAAAACTTTTTTGATCATTTTTTTTATATAAAAGTAAAGTTTAAGAAATTCCAAGTTTAATTAAAAAATGTTTTTTTTAGCCAAAAGAAACAAAAATTAAATGAACTAGAGTTTAACAAATTATGAGCTAATGCAAAAATTTCTCTTTACACATACTTTTATACCCTGAACAGGGTATATTAATTTTGTGACGAAGTTTGTAACACCCAGAAGAAAGCGTCGGAGACCCTATAAAGTATATATATAAATGATCAGTATGTTGAGCTGATTCGATTTAGCCATGTCCGTCTGTCTCTATGTATACGAACTAGTCCCTCAGTTTTTAAGATATCGTTTTGAAATTTTGCAAACACCATTTTCTCTTCAAGAAGCTACTCATTTGTCGGAACTACCGATATCGAACCACTATAACATATAGCTGCCATATAAACTAAACGATCGGAATCAAGTTCTTGTATGGAAAACTTTCACATTTGACAATGTATCTTCACTAAAGTTGGTACAAGTTATTTTCTATGGCAACCTGTCTCTTATACACATCTAGATGTGTAGAAGACTTCACATTTGACAATGTATCTTCACTAAAGTTGGTACAAGTTATTTTCTATGGCAACAATATAATCTCCGAAGAAATTGTTCAGATCGGTTAACTATAACATATAGCTGCCGTACAAACTGAACGATCGGAATCTACTGCTGGTATGGAAAACTTTTGCATTTAATAAGATATATTCGCGAAATTTGGTATAGATTATTTTTTAAGACAATAATGTAATCTCTGAAAAAATTGTTGAGATCGGTTAACTATAACATATAGCTGCCATATAAACTGAACGATCGGAATCAAGTTCTTGTATGGAAAACTTTCACATTTAACAATGTATCTTCACTAAAGTTGGCACAAGTTATTTTTTATGGCAACAATATAATCTCTAAAAAAATTGTTGAGATCGGTTAACTATAACATATAGCTGCCATACAAACTGATTTGACGTGGTATCTTCACGAAATTTGACTTGGATTACTGCTTAAGGTAATAATATAATCTCCGAAAAAAATGTTCAGATCGGATTACTATAGCATATAGCTTCCATACAAACTGAACACATAATTACTTACAGAAATGCACCTGTGAAGGGTATTTAGCTTCGGTGCAACTGAAGTTAACGTTTTTTCTTGTTTTTTAGAAAAACTTCGACTTTAATCCAAACGTTCTCTTTTTCCAAAGTTTTTTTGAAAAGAGAGTTAGCATATCTCTATAAACATAATATTATATGTAGCGTCATAATGACAAGTTTAAAATTTAGTAACTGTTTCCAATGAAGCGTTTATGAAATTGTGAGGTTAATAATAATTGTTTGCTAACTTGAATGCAAAAAGTGGTTGTAACACAAGTTTAAGGAGATTTAAAATATATAGTTTAAGAAAATCTGAGTTTGACGTAATATTTCTCTACTGCTTTTATTGAAAACCGCACAAACATAATAATGGCGTCTTTATCTCAAACTCAAGCCTAACGCTGTGTGACTATTTAGTTAAAATTGAAATTTTCTCATTGTATTGCTTAAGAAACCGTGACTACCTATTTTCGTTCAAACCCATTTTATTGCTTTCGAAGTCAATTGAACTTGTATTACTTTATTTTGGAAATGTCTATAATATCTAATGATCATAATATCTATAAACCATTCTCAATATGTGTTTAAGAAACTCTGAGTTTAATTCCTAATGTTTTGGCAAACATTGCTGTGAAAAGGACTTATACTTTTACGGAGCATGATAAACTCGTAGTTTGTGAGCAGTGTTTATAGCTAAGCACTAAATTGAACATTAAACGCAAGTTAGTGGCAATTAAGCAAAATTATCAATAAAAAAACAAAGGTGGAACACTATTTCAATAATTGCGCATCCTCACCACACGCCACAAATACACTTATAACGGCCCCCTATACCTTTCATGTACATATGTATGTATGCACATCTACATCAACATTTACTTAACTCACTCAATTAATTTGCATAAATATTTGCATTTAAATTATTAATTAAACACGAAAAGTAATCAACTGAAGTGAAATACTTACAAGAACAACAAAAAATATGCGTAAATAACATTGGCAAGGGGAAATAATAAAATGTGGTATTATTACAAGCAACAACAAAAATGGTAAGCGTTGAGACAATAAATTTCAAGAAGTGTCCACAATTAAAGCGTGGAGATAAGCCAAATGACATGAAAAAGGCAAACAAGTGAATCAGTTGAACGAGGAGATGAAGAAGCGGCTGTGGGGTAGGGGTAGCAGGTGAATGGTGAATGGTGAGGAGTTAAAACGCTACAGAGCTTGACTACGCACGTTGGATTGTAGATATTAAAATTATGAATTTTTAATTATGCGCGTAAACAATGGGTTACAAACACATACATATGTACTTGCACGAGTGCATAGTAGATCTGTTTGCACATAAGCCGTTATAGTATTTGTGATAAATTGAAAATGAAAAACAAATGCCGCTGACAAAAAATAAACGTGTAGATAAGCAAAAGCGTCAAGGCATAATGGAGGTAATGCGAGAGAAGTGCTTTTCCATTTTTACTTGTTGCCACGCGTCAACGCGGCGCGGAGGCTGTACGGGCTGGGTAGAGCAAACTAGGCGCCAAATTGTGGCAGTGTTGGTGTCTGTTAACGCTACAAGCAGCCCAGCGGAACGAATGTGAGGTTTTCATAAACTTGAGTTTAGTAAAATTTTTTTTTTTTTTTGGAAAGTCGGGTAATAGCTCTATTAACACCACATAAATATAGCATTTTCATCGCAAATATGAGTTTAATTTATAACATAAGTTTCAGAAACTCGGAGTTTAATTCAAAAATGTTTGTTGTTAAATCGGGCAATGCCGTATTTCGAGTTTTTACAACTCTACTAGCACAAAAATTTAGAAGTTCCGTCATAAACACGAGTTTAATAAATAACCCGAGTTAAAAAATTTAGAGTTTATCCAAATGTTTTTCGTAAAATCGGGTAGTAGCTCTACGAACGCATAAATATAGTTTTATCGCAAATGTGAGTTTAATTTATAACATAAGTTTCAAAAACTCGAACTTTTAATAAAAAAATGTTTGTTGTTAAATCGGGCAATGCCGTATTTCGAGTTTTTACAACTCTACTAGCACAAAAATATAGAAGTTACGTCATAAACACGAGTTTTATAAATGACTCGCGTTAAATAAACTGAGTTTAATTTTTAATTTTTAGCAAATATTGCTGCGAAAGAAAAAATATTGCTCACTTCTAATACAAATTGTATTTGCCGGGTTTCTCTACACTACGCTAACACTTAAAATTTGTAAAGAAATTATACAAGTGGACAACGGCGCTTATGGTGAATTGTGCATAAACTATATTTAAACTACTTGTCAGCTTGTGGGAGGCTATTGTCGCCGACTTGCTTTGTTTGATTAATTTAGCGGCGTGTAAAACGCAACAAAAGTATTAAAAAGTAGGGGGAAAATAAATTTAATTAAGAGTAGGCGGCGTATGCGTCTGTATTTATAGCAAAAGTATGAGCAAAGACCGTGAGGTAAAGTAAATAGTTGCGCGCCATGTAAATATTCAAGAGCAGGTGCTTCAACTTAGAAGGTGAATGGAATAAAAGTACTGTTGTCGAAGGTGAAGCACTAAAGTTAAGTGCATGTGACAATAAAAACCATACCACCATACCATAAAAGAAGTTTGTAAATAAATTTTTTAATTTTCTTAACGAAGTAAAGTTGGCGCAGAACTGATGAAAGAAAGTTGTAAAACTTGTTGGTAAATAAGCATGCTGTGAAGGTGCCAACTAACTGCAAATATTTTCAAAGAAGTTTTGCGAGAGAAGTTGACACGGCAAATAAAGTGACATATGGAAGTTAATATAGTTAAAGAGACAAAGTGTTGTTAGTAGAAAAGATATAACGCTATTAAAAGGAGCGCATTCAACTTTTCATAAGTATGACAGATTGGACAAATAGAGATGATAGCTTTTAATAAATACAAATGCGAGTTGTCAATAAATAGGAAATGAAGCAAAATTGACACATTTTGCGACGCTACTGTTTAACAAAGAACTTTTTTAACCAATAACTGTAAAACGCTAAATAACTATTTATAAAATAATATACAAGTATATACTTATACGTACACAATTATTTTCAATATGCTTAGCTGAAACAGATTGCGTCAGAAAAATGCAGAAAATATAATAAATATTGCACAGGGAAATTTCCGAAATATTTTGAGTTAACTCTATTTTAATAATTTGGCTTTATTAATTTCTA